TGACTCACCTGTGTTTCCATTTCTTTCCCCCTTTGCTCAGTGAAGATTCAGGATCCTTGGTGGTGAGGCTCTTATGCAAGGGTGCCCACCCCATGTGGTTCTGGAACACTCCCCTCCCCCTCCCGCATACCCAGACTCTCCTACTAGTTCCAAGCTCCTCTGCATCCAGACCTCCTCCCACCCCCTGAGCTAGGGATGTTAAATATAGGTTAATTAACTAATTGATTAGTTGATAGATTTTCAATTGACCAGATGGTTAGTCAATAAGTGGAGGAGCCCCAGGAGCTAATCCCGCTGTGGCTCTGCCTTTTAAGTTTGAGAACCTTTCAGCTCTTAATATATTTAAAAGGCGGGTGGGCTGGGCACAAGCCAGGCCTGAGGATTCCCAGCTGGTGCCAGGTCCCCCCTGCTGCTCTTTAGCCTTTTCCTGCTGCACTTCTGATTTTTAAATGTATTGAGAGCCAGCAGGCTCTTAATACGCTTAAAAAGCAGAGTTGCAGCATTTGGGACTGGACACAAGCCGAGAATCAGTTGATTCCCATCTCTTGCCTCCTTCCCTAACTCCCCTGCCCTCAGTGGAAATGGTGCCTGGAGGGAACCAGCCTTGAAGCCAGCTCCTGCTCTCCTTCCCCACCCCCCCGCTGCCTCTCATAGAAGCATCAAGGAGGTGGGGGGAAGCAATTAGTCAAGGGACTAGTCATCTATCCAATAAGCTTTTGCTTATCGGATAGTTGACTAGTTGCTTACATCCCTACCCTGAGCCTTGCCCCTCTGCATCTGGACCTCTGCCACAAGTCACTAGATGGTGTGGCTGGAGGGGGCCAGGTACAGGGGATGGAGCTCATCAGAAGGAAGGGTCTGGATGCATGGGGGTGAAGCTTGACAGACAGAGTAGGGGTTTGGGTGTAAAGTATAGGGCTGGGGTGTGGGGTGCAGGACAGCTCTTGCAGCTTTCCTTTGCTCGGCCATCGGAAAGTCATTTTTCTGTGGAGAAGCAAAGAAATCTGTGCCGGACATTAATTCTGTGCATACAAAGTGACTTCAGGATTCCCCAAAGTTAGTAAACAGTCCTGCTAATGCATCCCAAAATATTTGCTTTATGCTGCAACAGTGTTACACTGTTCACTTCAGTTACTTTGGCTCATCAATATTTGAGGTGGTATGAGCTGTCTGATGCTGAGACCTAAATATATTTCTCAAACATAGTTTTTATAAACTTGCCATGGTATTAGCAATTGTAATTTGGTGATATTTCCTTCTTTCAACTCACCTTTATTTTTGCAAATTTTTTGCTCAGTGAAGATGCAGGGTCCTTGATTAGGTTCTTCTGTTAAGGAAGACGCATTTGCTCTGAATATGCAGATTTAAGTATTGGGAGTAGCAGAAATTATAGGGATATATGTGAATAACTGCTTAGAACTAATTTTGTATGTTATGAAGACTTGGATTTTGTAATGTAAATACATCTTTAAGTGACTCCAGCTCCTTCATCTGGTCTTTCTGTCCTTTCAGAAAGTGAGATTTCCTGTACCTGTGTTAATTGTATTGATGAGGAGGGCAAATGTAATTTGGCAGTTGTCTCTTTCTTTTGTAGCAGAATATTAAGCCATGGAAACGCTTTAGAGTACGTAGTTCTCAAACCTTCAAGTACTGATTTTGGGACATGGCCTTTAAAAACTGACAGATCCAAAACAAAGGATACAGCAACATTGTACAGGAAGGTTGATGTGATGTGAAGGAATTGTCATTAATGAGTAAAGCTTTCTGTAACCTTAATTTTCTTATTCAGTATTCCTGTAATTTAAGTTAACTTGTCAAATAGCAACAGGTTTAGACCCAAATCAAAGCCTTATAAAAAGAGTGGCATGCCTTTAATAATCAGATAGTTCAGAGATGATGCTGTCTCTAGATACAAGTTAGCCATTGCTCATTCTTTAGTGCATGCTGAATTGCCCTAATTGGTGCCTTGGATGATGGCAAGTCAGCAGGTTGTGAAAATTCTGCAAGAACTTTCCTGCCATAGATATTTTAAGCTTTACAGCTGTAGCATCCGCTCTATTGGTTAAGCATGTGTAGATTTTTTTTTAAAGACCGAGTGGCTTGCATTGACAGAAGAATCAGAGTTCTGTTTAACTTCTGCTGTCTTGGTTTCAGTATACTTTAACAGCTTTCAAAGCATATAGCCAGACAAGATCTTTGCCTCAGAACTTGAAGTGTAAATAAATGGACAATATATATCTCACCAAGAGTCAGAGGACTGTTCTGTTTTTTTCTTTTTCTAGTTCCCTTTTAGTTCAGTGTGATTATTATTAGGGATGTCAGCATTTAACCCCTAAGCATCACCTTTACAGAGTGATGCTTACCAGTTACTAGTTAACTGGCAGCCCAAGTGGACCAGAGTAGCCTCCCAGGTGCTGCCTGTGAGGGAGGGAGACTGCTCCAGTAAGTTGCACTCCAGCCTGTTTGGAGCAACCCCTGCACAGCTCCTGTCCAGCTGGGATCAGTTCTTGTTCCTGTCAATAGGTGAAATGATTCCTATACAATTCACTTCTTCATAAATCTGCTCTTCTGGGTGAAGTGATGAATGGTGTTTACATACATCTCAGTTGCATAGAACTGGTCACCTTTCCTCTCATTTACCTCATATTGCTATTTCAGTGAAGTGGATAGAAACTTAGCCATTTCAGCAGGTCACTGCCATGTGAGCTTGGTTCCAATACTGAGTGCCAAGTAGGAAGAAAATTTTTTCTCTAAAGCAATTGATGCTAGTGATGCAAAACCCTATTTACTTGGTTAATGGATTAAGGGAGGGCTGGGTGGGGGCTGCTCTGGATGGCCAGAGCAATCCCTGTACATAGCGGGTCTGCATGTGCTGCAGGCATAGGCTGCTTCAGCCTGTCCAGAGCAGCCCCTGCCTGTCCCCCCAGTCCCCTCCCCCAGAGCAGGTCCTGTGGAGCTGGAGCAGCCCCCAGTTGACAATGGTTAGGGAGCTGCTCCAGCCCCCTCTGGTAAAATCAGATTTCTCATTTGAAAATCAGATTTCTTCGGTGGCCAGGAGTGCCTCTGGGCAACTTCATTTGATCCGCCAGCTGCGACCCTTACTGAACAAGCATGACTTGGCCACAGTGATCCATGCTCTTGTTACATCCCGACTGGATTACTGTAATGCACTTTATGTGGGGCTGCCTCCTAAAGAGCCTTCGGAAACTTCAACTGGTCCAGAATGCGGCTGCTCGAGTTTTAACTAACACTAGTTATACTGAGCACATTATGCCAGTGCTTCAGCAGCTGCACTGGCTTCCGGCATGTTTCCGGGCACAATTTAAGGTCTTAGTTATGACCTATAAAGCCTTAAATGAGTTGGGTCCAGGGTATCTGAAGGACTGTCTTCTCCCATATGAACCTGCCCGGGGATTGAGGTCAGCTGGGGAGGATTTGCTTTGTGTTCCCCCACTTGTGGAGATAAGTTTAACATCTAGGTGGAACAGGGCATTCTCAGCTTTTGCTCCTAGGCTGTGGAATTCTCTTCCTTGGGATATTCACGTGGCGCCAATGCTAGCGTTGTTTTGGTGTTAGGCTAAAGCCACCCTTTTTATTTGTGCTTTTATTAGTGTTTGAGTTTGTATGTGTGTGTTCCTCCTTTATGTTTTTAGCTGGTTATGTCCCTCTGGCGTCTCATATTTTAAATTTTTATATACATTTATATTGATTTCTTTGTAAGCCGCCTTGAATATTTTAAATAGAAAGGCGGGGTAAAATATTTAAATAAATAAATAAAATAAATTACAGTAAACTTCCGATAATCCGGCACCTTTAGGACCCGGGGGTGCCAGATCCCTCATAACCCCCCTTCCGATAGTCCCTGCAGCAGAGCAGCTGGAGTGCTGCCGGGTTGGTCCGGTAGCGCCAACCTTTGGTGTGGCGAGACCAACCTGGCAGCACCCCAGATGCTCTTGGGGATGCCTGGGGCAGAGCAGCTGGGGTGCTGCCGGGTTGGTCCCGCAGCGCCACTCCTCGGTGCTACTGGACCAACCTGGCAGCACCCCAGCTGCTCGGCCCCAGGTGTTCCCAAGTCAGTTGTAGGAATGTGAAGGTGGGGCTGAGGAGGCTGGGCTGCCCCTGACCTAGCAGAGTGAGTGAGGGAGGGAAGTTCAGGCCAGAGCTGGGCCATGCCATCCTGGCTGCAGCAGTGTCAGGCTAGGGCCATGCCACCTGTGGCAGAGTTTGGGCTGGGGCCGGGCAGCTCTGTCTGTGGCATACTGGCGGAAGAGAATTCTGGTGATGGGTCAGTTCTGTACGTCTGCCTGACTGGTGTCTGGTGGACTAACAGGGAATAGCCTTTTGGCTGGACGGGAGCAGTTGAGAAATATCCGGGGGGCATAAAGAATGAGTCAGCATGTGGAGTGATTAGCCTTTTCGGTTCTGATATAGTATTGGTACATGGAGGCAAGGGAAATCAGTACTTGCCTGAATTTCAAATGTGTAATGTCAGCTGGATGACTGGGTTTTCATACTGCACTAAAGCCAGTTACTTGACACCCCAGCCTCCATAGTTATGCCCCATTCATAGCCATAAATATGGCTAATAGAGTGGATCAACACTACAGGTTGCTGGGGTGCTGGTGTATGAGGAAGATGTCTAATTATTAGAGTTTAGGAACTCCGTTACCTGTCTCAGAAGGGTAGCCATGTTAGTCTGCATCTGAAAAACAATGAGGAGTCCTGTGGCACCTTAATGACTAACAGATTTATTAGGGCATTACTCTTGTGTGTGTAAAACCCACTTCATCAGATGTTGGTCTCTAAGATGCTACTGGACTCGTTTCTGTTACCTGTAAGTGTGGTGGGATGACTAGATGGAAATCCACTTGCTGCTTTTTTATTTTTATAGGCACTGGCAATAAACTTACTGTCCTTCTGCCTTGTGTTCTACATTTTGAACATATGTTATTGCATGTTTTTATTACTTTTATTGATGGGTATATATTTTTCCTTTGTAGTGATTTCTGCATTTTACCACTTTTTTGATGGAAGAGGAGGACTAACCCAGAAGTGAACTCTGCAGTTAAACAAGAAACTCTCATTAAATAATTTGGCTCCTTTCAAAAACAGCACCCCAGTCTAGAAGACCTTTAAAGAGAAGAGAATACTTTTCGATTTTGCTCTTTCAATTTCACTTCTTCAGCACATAAACGGTGAACAGCAAAGACACTGATGCAGTTGTCTGCCATTGAGCTTCGTGTCAAATAGCATTTATTTAGTTCCTTGGAGGGGAACCTAAGTTACATGAAGTGAAAAGTATCAAGACATTCATTTTTAAGAACTTTAGCACCGTGGATTTTTTTTAGCAACTGTACATATAATGAAAATGAAGCTTATATTTTAAGACCATATATGCTTGGGCAGATGTCTCCCATTTAATATTAGAATTTGGGAGAAGCATTTTTATATAACTTAACCTTTCCTCCCCCATCTCCTAAGCTTTCAAACTGATGTGTTACAGACAATGAATAATCCCACAGATTTGAATGTATCTGTTCATTGTTAACTTTGGTATTGCTCTGAATGTTGTCCTGCAGCTCCAACAACCACTTCTGTTATGTTAAATCCAAGTTCCACAGCACCACAATAAGAGGAAATTTAATGAGGTGAACGTGGTTGTGGCTTTTTTAAATGTAAATTACCTTTTTAGGTATTTTTTTGTAGTATGAGAACAGAGAGATGAAGATGAGTAGCTGAGGGGGTTGAACGGTGCAGTCAGCACGAAGTGCGGCTTCTCGTGCTCTGCTCTGAGACGCACCATTGCCTCAAGGCTGGCATAACTGCATTCTGGAGAAGGAAAGAACCTGAAGATCAGAATAAAACACTGAAATAAAGGAGAGAATTGGACTGCGACGGCCGAACTCTGGGTAATTAATCATAACTTTATTTCTTTATATATATAACATATCTTGACTCATGTACAACCCAGGGTGCAAACAGGGAGGAAAGTGAGGGAACCAAGACGGACGACCTCCCCCCCCCCCAACAAAATTAGATACTACTTAATCTACTAATTCTAAGTAACTGGATAATAGCTTCTAGAGTAGAATCATAGAATACTAGGACTGGAAGGGACCTCGAGAGGCAGGACCTAATACTGTCTAGACCATCCCTGATAGACATTTATCTAACCTGCTCTTAAATATCTCCAGAGATGGGGATTCCACAACCTCCCTGGTCAATTTATTCCAGTGTTTAACTACCCTGACAGTTAGGAACTTTTTCCTAATGTCCAACCTAAACCTCCCTTGCTGCAGTTTAAGCCCATTGCTTCTTGCTCTATCCTCAGAGGCCAAGATGAACAAGTTTTCTCCCTTCTTCTTATGACACCCTTTTAGATACCTGAAAACGGCTATCATGTCCCCCTTCAGTCTTCTCTTTTCTAAACTAAACAAACCCAATTCTTTCAGCCTTCCTTCATAGGTCATGTTCTCTAGATCTTTAATCATTCTCGTTGCTCTTCTCTGGACCCTCTCCAATTTCTCCATCTTTCTTGAAATGCAGTGCCCAGGACTGGACACACTACTCCAACTGAAGCCTAACCAGAGTAGAGCGGAAGAATAACTTCTTGTGTTTTGATCACAACACACCTGTTAATGCATCCCAGAATCATGTTTGCTTTTTTTGCAACCGCATCACACTGCTGACTCATATTCAGCTTTGTGGTCCACTATAACCCCTAGATCTCTTTCTGCCGTACTCATTCCTTGACACTTGAGTACTTTAAGATAGAAGGCCTACCACGCATTTTAGAAAGTTAACTTTTCCTTTGCTCAAAATTTGAGTTTGTCACCTACATATTGCCCTTAGTGTCTGTCATACGTGTATTAGTACTCATGACAATACAGTTACAGATGCTCAGTCTCCTTTCTTACCAGCTTGTCATATCTTTTTCTATTAACTGTCAGAAATTCGGCACATTAGCAAATTATGGACTGTGCATAGAATTTTGGGGCCTTAAAACAATTTTAAGACTGAAGATTTGCCCCATAAAACTAATTTGATGTTAAAGTTGGTAGCAACATTACATCTTTACTATATTTACTCTTTCTGAAGGAAAAATATGCAGGGCCATTCTGTAGGGCGGTGAACATTTCCCGGAGAGCCCACACGTTTGTGTCATGTTGTTTTACATGTCTGTTATGCACTGTTATGTTGTTTTACATGTCTGTCATGTTGTTTTACATGTCTGTTATGTCAACTGCATATTTGTTGGTTCCTTTCTACACCCAGACCATTCCCATTATGAATTTCGTAGATTCATTGCTAAGGTTGATATTGTAAGCAGGAAGTATTTGGGACTTATGAAAGCCTTATCTATCCTGGCCAGGGAAACCATGTTGGCAGCTTTCTAGTAAGAATTGTATTTAAGCCTAGCAAAACACTCTTATTTTTTCTGTTCCCTAGACAAGGCCCTAAATGTTACAGTGCAATTATTCACTTAATGCCACAGCAAGGGCTGGCAGATTGGATATGTGGTTGTTCTTTCTTTCACTTGTAGATCCTGGCCATGAGGTTTGATGCCTCACTTTATTGAAGGGAGACACTGGACCTAAATGGCGCAGCATGACTTTGTTCCTGCCTGGCTTAACTTCTCAACACCACAGTCAGCCAAGGTAACCCATCCATTTAGATTATCCAGTCAGAAGCTTTTATTTATTTAATGGCTAAAGCAAGTTTTGGCCCTGGATTTTGCCCAGTTTAAATGCCTGTAATCTTGTTTGGAATGGTCTTTGTTCTTGAATACCTGTATGCAGCTTTTTAAGACACTGAGCCAAAAACTGATCTTCTGCTGACTTTTCTTTGGCAAATTTACCCCTCTCTCTTCCAGACAGAAGGGTTGTTTTTCTGAGTGTGCAGACGTGAGCAAATAAGTCATGTTCACTCCAGTCGACATAGAGATCTCATAATAGAGGGATAATTTAAGAGATCCTACAAAAGTTGGTAGGGCTGAAAACAGGCCTGCTAGCCCCTTCATATTTGTGTACAAATTAAGAATAATTCCTTTTCTTTTCACAATAATGTTGCACTTCTGAGCAGTGCACAAATAACAATCTGTTGGTTCCAATCTCAGAATTTTCTAACTCTTTTAGGGTTGCTTGTATGTGAAATCCCAGAATTGGGGGCAGAGGCAGGATTATTGGATTGAGACTTCTCACCCTCTGACAACAGGGTATTGAGGGGTAGATCTATTTGACTCAAAGGTGTAAAGTCTGTGTGGAACCTCAAGCAGATATGTGCATTGCATACGCATGGTAGACTTTGAGCACCTTGTGATAGCAAACCAAATTGTATGGAAAACATTTTGATAAGGAAACTAACTGCTTTCAGCTACTTGTTTAAACTAGAAGAGATTAAAAAAAACTTCAAGAAGTGCAATACCTTGTTATGACTCTAGAACCTTTTCCAGGTAGGGAAATTGGTAAGATTCCTTATGAACGCTTCAGAAAGTGGTGCCTAGGATTGTAAAGATTCTGTTACAAAGAATGCCTATATACTAGCTTTTCTAAGATAGATCTAGTCATGCTGTTTTTTGTGGAGTTCAGTTAAATATTTTTGTATTTATCAGCTAAGCAACACACAGCCTGTTGCTGTAATTATTGAAAACTAAAGCAGAGAATGTAATCTTATTTTCATACAAGACATCAGAATAGCATTGCTGGTCAAGCTGGCTCTTAAGGCGACTCAAGTAATTCTGTTTGCTTCTGTAGTCCCCAGCAGCCACCTTTGAGAAACATGGAGAGCATCTTCCACGGGGTGAAGGCCGGTTTGGTGTGAGCCGTAGAAGACACAACTCTTCTGATGGATTTTTCAACAACGGCCCCCTCAGAACTACGGGAGGTGAGTCGGATTAGAACTCGTTCTATATCCAAAGATTTAATGCAGAATTACACAATATATTCCTCTGGAATATAGTCTGAGGGGTAGCTGTGTTAGTCTGTGACTTTAAAAGTGAGTAGTCCTGTGGCTCCTTAGAGACCTACATATATAGGTTCATGAGCTTTTGTGGGTAAAACTCACTTCATCAGATGAGTTGGAGTGGAAATAGAGAATCCAAGGTGTATATAACAAAAGCAGTTACTTGTCAATTGTAGGGCCTATGCTAATGAGGCTAGCTAAGTAGGCTGTATGTGTCCCATTGATAGATATCTTTTGATGCAAAAAAGTGAATGTCAAAGGCCATGGGAAATTGGCTTTGTAGGCATTAACCAGTTAATACATTTATTCAAGCCCAGGTTGACTGTTATATTTTGTAAAAGAATGGCTATTTTTAAATCCATTTCTGAGTGTTCAGGTAGGTGAAAATGTTCCCCGACAGACTGATTTGTGTCCATTTATCCTTTTTCACGCAGTCTGCCTACTTAATTAGCTTCATTAACACGGGTCCTACAATTGACTGGTAACTGCTTTTGTTATAAATAGCTTGGATTCTGTTATTTTCACTCAACTCTTCTAATGAAGTGTGTTTTGCCCACAAAAGCTCATAATCCTATATATTTATTAGACTCTACAGTACCATGGGACTACTTGTTTTGGAATATAAAGTAACTGCAAAACCGCATCCCTTGTAACACACAAAGCCGCTTATCCTAACACCTTTCTCTTTTATGCCATCTCTCTGTGTTCCTTTGGGTTTCGATAGAAGTTAAATTCTTCTGTAGTTTGACTTTTTTACTCAGACTAAGTCTTTCTGAACTGTGGGAAGGTCAGCCTACTAGCTATTTAGAAAGCATTGACCAACACTAGAAATATCAGGTCATTCCTGACTTGGATTTTATTTACGTGCTTTGCTCCTTCTGTTTAGACTGCTGGCATCAGCCCTCCCTGCTCCGCCATGATTCTGTAGATTCTGGTGTTTCTAAAGGAGCTCATGTTGGGCTTTCTGGCAATCAGCCTGGCTGGCATGGTCCCTCACGGGGCCATGATGGTATGAACCAGCGTGGTGGTGGAGGAACTGGAGTCCATCGCCACTGGAATGGCAGTTTTCACACTCGGAAGAACTCTGCCTTTCAAGAAAAGCTGCCTGTTGAGGTCAGGGAAGAGAGGAGAGAAGATAAAGAGAAACTGCAGTTTGAGGAAGAAGACTTTGTAAGTGTGTGTCTTTTTGCACTACTCCCAGCAGCTATGAGAAATGGCTTTTTAGGTTTCATTGTATTAGCATTGGTTAGTAGAAAGAATAATAGAGTTGAATTTCATCCCATACTTCTGGAGGGTCAGTTTAGTTTTAATGGAATAGTTCTGCAAACAGTGCTTGCAAAATGTTAACTTTTTCCTACATTCCCGAGGGCCTCATGTTTTGGGAAAGGGGGAGGGTGGTTTTTGGGGAGTTTTTTGACACCATTACGTTTTTTCCAGGTTATTTTAAATCTGCTGTTAGTGTTGATGCACAAATTTGTTCAATCAGTCAAATGCAGGATAGCTTTTCCCAGAGTACACAGCTGGAGGCTTGTGCTGTAATAGATTATATGATTTTGAATTTCCCATTGATTGTGAAAAGAGGGGAAGAGTACTTAGACCAGGACACTTTTGTGCTATGCTTGTGGCTTCTAGGTACCATGGTAATACTACTTCTGATAAATAGCAGTATGTGAACTCTTCTGATGTGTCCAACCGGATTATGTTTTTACAGCCATCTTTGAATCCAGAAGCTGGAAAACAGAATAACCAGAGCAAACCTTTAGGGACACCTTCTGGAGTGTGGGGTATGTAGAGAACCTCAATCTGTTTTGCTCCTCTTCCATTTTATACTAATGACATATGATAGGAATTTCACTCATCTGTAAATTTGTTGTGATCTTCTCCCACGGAAATAGCAGCCTGTCTAAGCTTGTGGGTGTGGAGTGTTGGCATGAAATGATCATGAAAATGTTTGACACTTCATAGCTAAATGCCAAATTTAAAATGTACAGTAGGCTTGAAAAGACACTAGTTAGAGCCCATGATTATAACTGAAGAGTTGAATTTTGGGTGGGATTGAATTGTAAACAAGATACTTATTAATTGTATCCTAAAAACATTCAGTTATTTGTTGTACTAGATCTAATTTTAATCCCTTGAGTGGTTGGTTCACATCTTAAATGGCCCATCTAAATATAATATAAGATTAGCATCAGTAAAAGGCTGTTTAAACACTTCGGTGGTTTATTACAGTTTTCAAGAAAGTTTATTGATCCTGAGAACTGTTCGCTCCACCAAACTACATTAAGTAGAAGTAGGGTTGCCAGGTGTCCAGTTTTCTACCGGACAGTCTGGTTTTTGGGCCCTCTGTCCAGTAAAAAAAAATCCAGAAAATACCGGACATGTGCAATGTCCAGTGTTTCCTGGTTTTCCAGCTAGGCGCCAGACGAAAGCCTGGCGGTGGGAGTGACTAGGAGGCGGGATGTGATTGGCTGTGGGAGCCCTGGTTGTGTGTGTGAGGAGGAGGAGGAGGGGCAGCCCGGTCCATGCTCCTGTGCGCTGGTCAAGCGTGTGGTGGAGCTGCAGCCAGACTGATTCAGGCGGGATGGGAGTGCCCTGAGATCTGCGCAGCCTGGGTCAGTCCTGCTCCACGCCAGCTGATTCGCTCCCCTGTCCCCTCCACCAGCTCTGTGTCCCGCTGGCCGGTTCCTGCTCCGGATCTTCCCCGGCCAGCTCTGCCCCCGCTGCGCCAACTCCCCTCCTCCCCCCCTCCACACAGACACCCC